ACCCAAATAATTTCAACCAAAAGTAGTACTAGCCCTAACCACCCACGCCTCGTGTTTCTCTCGAAACGCAAAAATATATTATGAAAAACTTTAAGTTTTTTCCAAAGTCATTCTTGTTACACTTCAAAAATATCCTTTGTAATGAATATCAATCCACCAATATTCTTTAATAAAAGAATATACATTTAATAATCCATAATAGATAATAATCCACCGATATTCATACATTCAAAATATTCATTCTATGTCAAACAAATAGTTTTCAATTCATAAATAATTCACATAGTTCAAATATTGCATACATATAAGTACGAGATAAAACATTTTTGATTGACATAGAACTTACCTTAAATTGCGATAATCCCCTTAATAAAATCTCTGGCTTGGTCTTCACTTGAATTCCTCTTCTAATATATATCAAAATTTGAAATCAATAACTACTCTATTATCTTTGTTATTTCCTATCTATCCAACCTTTAATTGTTTTAATTTCATAATTCCTTCTTTAAATATAACAATTAAGTTAGATTCATAAACCTTATTTAAAATGTTAATTTTCGGTCCAACCTTATTATTTTCTTTAATCATACTAATCCCCTCCATAATTTACTTTAATTTATTTGGTCAATTAGTTAACTAGTCTAATTAAATTAATTACATAATAATTTCGTTATTTTGAATTAAATAATCAATTTCAGTCCAAAATTCAGTTTACATAATTTATATAAACTGAATTCAGTTTAAATAATAAAACTTTTAATAAGAATTTGGCGTAAGCAATTATTCGAAATAATAATCACTAATGATAATATAATGGAAAAATTGATTGTAATAATCCCAACTATTGGCGGTCCGCTTATAATAATCCCAACTATCGATTATCTCAGAATAATCCCAACTTTAGTGACCTTCCGCCAATAATGGTCTGACATGACCGGCTATAAATAAATTCCTATAGTTTCTAAAGTGGATGAGAAGAGATATAACAAGTAATCCCTATAAATAGTTCAACTTTTAATTTTTATGCTTTATTTCTATTTAAAATTCACTTGTTATAGCAGGTCATATCTGGTCATGGACCATTATTGGCGGAAGGTCACTAAAGTTGGGATTATCCTGAGATAATCGATAGTTGGAATTATTATAAGCGGACCGCCAATAGTTGGGATTATTACAATCAATTTTTCCTAATCTAATCTCAATAACAAACTTAATTAGTTCAATAGTTTATTTATACTAACTAACCCAATTACATTAGCTAATCTAGTACTCCAGTTTTATTTATTTGATTAATTAATTTAATTTAATTAACTTCATCAACTAAATAAGTTTAATTATATCAATATAGCTAAATACATTAATCTAATTCAATTAAGGCCAATAATAAAATTCTAATTTCGTTTTTATCCTCTATTATTACTATAAAGTCCAACACTATTACCAAGTTCATATTTTAACTAATTTATCTATTTAACTAATTGATTTAGTTAAACTAGTTCAATAAGGTCAATTAACTAAATTATTAAGTACACATTACTTAATTAATTTATTTATATTAGTCAACTAAGTTTTATGAGTTCAAATAGTTTAACAAATTATATGAAGTTCAAATCAATAATAATCAAGAATAATAGTTATTAATTTAATCAAACTAATTTAATTAGTCCACTAATTGAATAATTTATTTATTAAGTCCAAATATAGTCATTCATTTATGCTAGCTAACCCAACTTTATTTTTTTCTTATTTTATTCCAAACATCATTTTTACTCCAGAATATTATTTTCAATCTCAGTGATTTATTTATTTCACCATTAATATCAAAATTTCATTATTTAAATACTGAACTAGTTTTATATGGCCCAATTAAATTAAATAGCTTAAGAATCGACTTTATAAATTAATAACCATCCATAACTATATTTTGGGTCCATATTTGACCTAGGTCGTCCAGATATTTATTTTAGAATTATTTCCTTTATTTGTTCATTTAATTTCATATATCTATTAATCGGTTTAATTACAATTAAATATACTAATAATAATTTTTATTAATTGTAAATGGTCCCAAATGTCCTAGTTAGTTATATAATTAATCTAGCTTACTCCAATATTTATTTCATAATTTATTTCATCATTTAGTTAATTATTTACTAAATATGTACAAATTGGCCCAAATACAATTAATTCAATTAAAAATAGCTAAAAATATTATATTTCAATTCTGGTTGGTCCGAATATGTATATTTATACTAGGTATTTAATTTATATTTTTCCAGATTTTATTTATTTCATTTACTGTTTTATTTTTAATTTTTATTGAAAATGGGCCGAACTGGCCCAAATACGCGACCGGCCCAAGAAGACTGGGTTGTCTTCTTCCCAGCTCTTCTACAGGTCGCAATTCCGGTGATCGGAATTACGAAAACTTCGGCGAACGATAACTTACTTACAGGTAACGGTTTTCGACGATTCAAGTTGCAAAATGATCCTCACGTCGAGACGAAGCTCCTCCACCCCTATCTACGGCCAAATGTCCGCTTTTGCTGAAGACCCTTTTGCACGGCTTGACACTCCGGCGGCGTCTAAGCAACTCCGGTGACTACGAATCGGTCTGGAATTTATTGGGAAGTATTCCTAGACCTCTCACGACCCTCCTCTATCGTTTTTACAAAGTTTGATACGTAAAATAATATAGATATAAATTTTCCGGCGAGATTATGTATATATATATATGTATGTGTATATATAGCTTCTATCTCTCCAATTTGCAGTGTTTGGGACCAAAAGGTCCGGAGGCATTCATTTGATAAGTGTATAAAACAATCTAAAAGCGAGTTCAGACATCAAAAGGTCCGGAGGCATTCATTCAAAAATATTTAGGAGCATAAGTTATATTGTTTAGAGGCACGGCCGAGGCCGAGGGCCAGCTAAGATAAGGAAAATTTCCTAAGTATCTACTACTTGAACAATCTCTTCAGCGGGCTTCGAGACAACATCCTCCCCGGTCTCTTCCTCGTCATCCTGCCTTTCTCGCATCAGCTCGGAATCCTCAAGGTCCAGCCTCTCGACACTCGAGGGGAGGGGAATGCGGACGTCTGGCTGAAGGGGGGGGGGGGGGGGGGAGGCTGTAGGTTGCCGGGTTGAACTCCTTTGGGTCCACCCCATAATGCCGGGCAAGCCTCCGATAGACGAGGGCTTGAGTAAAGAACTCACCCCCGTCATAGTAATCCTTACCCTTCCGATCCAACCACTCAGCTCCGGGGCCACCAACCCAATTGTCAACAGACGCTTCTACTACCGAGGCCAACCACTATTTTTGCTCCTCGACCTTCCAACCATCAGCGACGAAGGCGGCAATGGCATCCCTCCTGGCCTGGGTGATGGCCTCTTTCTTGGATGCCTCGGCTTCCTCGGCAGTAGTCTTGGCAGCTTCGGCGGCGGCCTTTTCAGCTTCGACCTTGCCCTCGGCCCTGGCTTCCTTCCTAGCAGCCTCCAGCTTCTGCTCCATCTCGTCGGTGGTCAGTCGGAGGGTTTCCTCCAATCTAGCCATCTGCCTCACAGCGGCAGCATTGTCTATGACGAGCTTCTTTAAAGTCTCATCAGACTCCGCCTTCTGGAGGCGCAAATTCTCCACCCTCCGGATTTGCTCGTCGAGACCGATGCAAGCCTGTAAGCAAATGATAAGGATCAGACTCGAGGATCTTACCGTAAGAGAAGCACGGAGGATCTTAGACTCGAGGGCGTCATCCTCATACCGGCTGAGGGCTGCCTTATCAAGTTGAGGGGTAGCACCCTTAAGGAATTCCTTCGGGTCCACGGCGCCATGCATGATGGCAGTCCCCTTTATGATGTAGAACTGCACATTCTCCCGAGGCAAGGCCCCCTCACCCATATGTTCCGAAGGGGGGTGGGAAGAGGTCACCGCCAGCACAACCGGGGGCTCAGAAGAGGAATGCTCCTCAACAATCAAAACGGGGGTAGCCTTCTTCCCGACATCCCTTTTCCTCAGCTTCTTCACGACGGGTACCACAGCTTTGCCCGCTGCCTTCCTCTTTGCAGCCGCGGCTTTGGTACCTCCGGCCTCAACACCACCGAGGGCAGGAAGAATTGCCGAGGAGGGCTCACCATCTTTCTTGAAGAACTCATCGACGGGTGATCGGTGTATTTTTTTTGTGAGTAAAACGTAGTTGGTTAATCCGTAGAATAACCAGACCATGAGTATCGTCTCTCAAGGAGTGGCAAAAAGGATGTTTTGAATACAGTCCGTGATCACAGGCTAGCACAAGTCATGGGAATCTTTCCGAATAAATTGTTTTCGGGTGGTAAAAAAATAACAAAAAACAAATGCAAAAATAAAAAGAGTAAAAAATTATCTTGATTCAAGATTTAAAACAGGGTTCGAATTGGGGTTAGGGTTCATGGGCTCTTGAGGGTGTGAATTTAGTTTTTAAAATTCAATTAATTTTCTGGAAAATTGTATAAGATTACTCTTAATTGTCTATATGAATTTGATCGCCTCATATATGAATGTTTGGATTTAATTCAATTCTTGTCTATGGAATTTGCGTTAAATTAGCTTGGATCTTATACAAGCAATCTGATCTTAGAAATAAGTTAAGATTGTGATAATTTGAATTAATTCTTGTCCATGAGAATTTATTTCATTTTCTTTCCAGGAATAATTGAAAATTACATTACTTAATTCTCATCTCGAAAGAACAACCAGAACCCGAACCATCCAATTTGAACCCTGTTTTAAATCTTGAATCAAGATAATTTTTTACTCTTTTTATTTTTGCATTTGTTGTTTGTTATTTTTTTACCACCCTAAAACAATTTATTCGGAAAGATTACCATGACTTGTGCTAGCCTGTGATCACGGACTGTATTCAAAACTTCCTTTTTGCCACTCCTTAAGAGACGATACTCATGGTCTGGTTATTCTACGGATTAACCAACTACGTTTTACTCACAAAAAAAAATACACCGATCAATTGGCGCCGTTGCCGGGGAGTGGCACGGTTGTTTGTTAAGTACTTTCTGTGGAATAGGTAAAAGTAAGTCGGTGAGACTTTCTATTTCTTTTCTGTTATTTGTTTTTGTTTTTGGTGTTCTTTGCACGTGAACTAAGCTGCAGGAACCAGTGCATGCACACTCGCTCCTTGGGGGAACAAGATTTAATTGCAGGTTATTCGGATCCTGAACGCTTATTCCGAGGAAGAGCTAAAAGGCGGTTGCTAGAAGACTTAAACAAAATGGCCGATGAGACAACTCTGGAGAAGTTGACGCCTAACTATGTGGCGAGAAATAGCATTGGTGCACCCACCATTGAGGCCAACAATTTTGAAATCAAGCCGGCCATGATGCAGATGCTTGCTAATAATCCATTCTGTGGATACACCCATGAAGATCCAATGGAACATATTGAGAGCTTTATTCAGACATGTGCCACATTCAAATACAATGGGGTATCCAGCGAGGCAGTGAGGTTGACCTTATTTCCATTCTCGTTGAGAGACAAGGCATCGCGGTGGCTCCGTAGCTTTCCAACGGGCATTTTGATACATGGGAGAAGCTTCATCAGGCATTTATACAGGAGTACTTTCCTCCCTCTGCCGCTATCAAAGTTCAGACAGAAATTCTCAACTTCACTCAAGCTCCGACCGAGACTTTCAGTGAAGCATGGGATAGGCTTAAGACGCTGAGAAGGAAGTGTCCAGAAACATTCATGAATTCAGCAACCATTATGTGCAGATTTTATAATGGTCTTCGGCTGGAGTATATGAGAGAAATAGACCGGGCATCTCAGGGGGGTATGTTTCTAAAATTGTCCCCAGAGGCAGAAGAGCACATAATAGAGAATTTGGCTTCAAATGATAAATATTGGTACGCGGGCAAGGAGAGAGCTCAAAATCCACCTGGTCTGCTCAATTTAGATCCCATCACTGCACTCACAGCGAAGATCGAGGGACTGGCAGTGGATGTCAAAGACTTGAAGGCACAGACCTCTCAGCAGCAACATGTCCACAATATTGGGGCATATCAGCCCTCTTATCCTATGTATTCTGCCCCACTTCCCGTTCGAGCAAGTTATCCAAGTCCAACTGGCCAAGAACTAGCTTTATCTTGCGAAATGTGCATGGGAGCTCACCTCACTCACACCTGTCCTCTTTATGTTCAGAATCAGGCAACTCCAGTGGTCCGTGATGTGAATTTCATGGAATACGGTCAAGGCCAGAGAGCTGGTGGGCAGTTTTTCAACAATCAAGTTCAGAGAGGAAACTTTCAGCAAGGAGGAGGCTCGTGGAGACCTGAAAATCAGAATCAGGGGCAGCGGAATGCTCCCAATTACCAAGCAAATTTTCAGAATAGAGGCAATCCAAATCAGCCCACTTATGTCCCGCCTCACCAAAGACAGCTTGAACCACCTCCGATAAATGCAGCGCTAGAGAAAACAGTGGCTGAATTAGCCAAAAATCAAGCAGAGATGCACCAGCGTTTCAGAACCTAGAAGCTCTTATCCGCCAGCTTGGTTCAGTTGCTCCTAGAGAACCAGGCAGCCTTCCGAGTTCAACAGAACCCAATCCAAGGGAGCAAGTGCAGGCCGTTACACTACGCAGCGGGAAGACCCTTACAGAAGTTAATACTCCACCATTGCCTCAACAAAATGATGACCAACGGCATCAAGAGCCGAAATCCCAGGAGGTTGAAGAAGAACCAGTGGATGTCCCTATTCCTTCCAGGAGTAATGAAGCTCAGAAAGAAGATTCTCTGAAGAAAGAGAAGAGTAAGACGACTCCACCTCTCCCGTTCCCTACACGGGTGAAGAGAAGTAATGATAACACGAACCTGATTAGATTTATGGAGCATCTGAAGCAGCTTCATATTAATGTCCCATTCATAGAAGCTTTGACGGAGATGCCGAGGTACGCAAAATTTCTGAAGGATCTCCTCACGAAAAAGAGGAGGTGGGAAGAGCCGGAAGTGGTGGATCTTAATGCGGAATGTTCAGCAGTTGTTCTGAAGACTATGCCTCCGAAGCTAAAAGACCCAGGGAGTTTTACTGTACCTTGTTCTATTGAAAATTTTATGTTTAATAATGCCTTAGCTGATTTAGGAGCTAGCATCAACCTGATGCCTTCCTCTGTGGTCATGAAACTTGGCTTGGGTGAACTAAAGCCCACTCGTATGAGCCTTCAGCTAGCGGACCGATCGGTGAAATACCCGAAAGGAATTCTAGAGGATGTATTAGTACGAGTGGACAAGTTCATATTCCCTGTCGATTTTGTGGTCATGGACATGGAGGAAGATCGTGAGACTCCACTTATTTTAGGGAGGCCCTTTCTGGCTACTGCTAAGGCCCTTGTCGATGTTGCTGCTGGTTCACTTTCTCTGAGAGTTGGGGACGATGTGTGCACTTTTAAACTCTCAGAGGTGATGAGTAAGGCCTCAGACCCCGCTGAATCGTGCCATTATCTTGATATGTTTGAGTCAGTGGAGGGGTATTTATTTGGAGGCGATAGTGATATTACCCCACCTGTTAGTGACATTCATTATGTGGGGGATATGGTGGTTGAAAATGAAGAAGAAATGACTGTTGATTGCGAGCAGGTGATTAGGAATGATGATTTCCCTACGTTGCTTACTGAGTTTGAGGAGCAGCCCACCGATAAGGTTACTCCTGAACTCAAACCGCTCCCTAGTCACCTGGAGTATGCATTTTTAGACACACAGGGCCAACACCCTGTTATTATTTCAGCCCAGTTAGAGTCGGGACAGAAGGAAAAATTGATGGATGTCCTTAGGTGTCACGAGCAAGTCATTGCGCGTAAGCTTGAGGATCTTCGTGGGATTAGCCCAACCTTTTGTACCCACAAAATCAAGTGTGAGGAGGGGTATAAACCAGTCGTGCAACCGCAACGACGTTTAAACCCCAAGATGATGGAAGTGGTAAAGGCAGAAGTCCTGAGGCTTTTGGATGTGGGTATAATTTACCCAATTTCAGATAGCCAATGGGTTAGCCCTACTCACGTGGTCCCCAAGAAGGGGGGTATGACGGTGATTCAGAATGAGAAGGGGGAACTCTTACCTAGTAGGACGGTGACTGGGTGGCGGATGGTCGTTGATTACCGTAAACTAAATGAAGCCACCCGGAAGGATCATTTTCCCTTACCTTTTATTGATCAGTTGATTGAGAGTTTGGCAGGGTATGCTTATTATTGTTTCCTTGACGGGATGAGCGGGTACTTTCAAATACACGTTGATCCCGTTGACCAGGAAAAGACCACTTTTACTTGCCCATTTGGGACATTTTCATTTCGTAGGATGTCTTTTGGTCTATGCAATGCCCCTGCCACATTTATGCGTTGCATGATTGCTATCTTTGAGAAGTTTATTGGTGATTTTATGGAGGTTTTTATGGATGACTTCTCTATTTTTGGGGAGTCATTTGATGAATGCCTCCATAATTTAGAGAAAGTGTTGATTAGGTGTGAGGAGACCCACTTGGCCTTGAGTTGGGAAAAGTGTCACTTCATGGTCAAGGAGGGTATTGTGCTAGATCATAAGGTGTCATCTAAGGGTATTGAGGTTGACAAGGCGAAAATCGAGGCCATTGAGAAACTCCCGCCTCCAACGACCGTAAAGGCTGTCCGTAGCTTTCTTGGGCACGCCGGCTTCTACCGTCGCTTTATTCGGGATTTCTCAAAAATAGCCAAACCTCTCACCCGTTTGCTTGAGAAAGATGCTGATTTTTTGTTTGATGATGAATGTTTGCTTGCTTTTAAGTGTTTGAAACTTAAGTTGATGGAAGCTCCAGTTTTAGTTGCTCCAGATTGGGAAATCCCTTTTGAGCTAATGTGCGATGCTAGCGATCAGGTGGTCGGGGCCATTCTTGGCCAACGGAAAGATAATCACTTCCGCCCCATCTATTACGCTAGCAAAACCTTAGCGGGACCCCAATTGAATTATACCACTACAGAGAAAGAGCTTCTAGCTATTGTGTATGCTTTGGAGAAGTTTAGGTCGTATATTATTTTATCTGAAGTAATTATCTACACCGATCATTCGGCGTTGAGATATTTATTTCAGAAGCACGACTCTAAACCTAGACTTCTCCGTTGGATTTTGTTGTTGCAGGAATTTAACATAGAGATTAGGGACCGGAGGGGTTCCGCCAATCAAGCAGCTGATCACTTGTCACGATTAGATGCTGACTTGGTAGACTCTTTCGGTAATGATGTTATTGAAGAACTTTTTCCTGATGAACGTCTTTTGCAGGTTGAGATTGGATCTGAGGTACCCTGGTATGCAGACATAGCCAACTACTTAGTAGGCGATGTTGAGCTTACCGGGCTATCTCGACACATGTTAAAAAAGTTTCTGTCCGATGCTAAGTATTATTTCTGGGATGATCCTTATTTGTTCAGGATTTGTGCTGACCAGGTAGTACGAAGGTGCATTCCTGAGGATGAAATGAATGAGATTCTTTACCATTGTCATGCTGGCCCCACTGGGGGGCATTTTTCTGGTAATAGGACGGCAAGAAGAGTGTTAGAGTGTGGGTATTACTGGCCCACATTGTTCAAAGATGCAAATTCTTATGTTGCCTCGTGCGATAGGTGTCAACGGGTAGGAAATATTTCTAAACGAGATGAGATGCCCCAGACATATCTATTGCCTTGTGAAGTTTTTGATGTCTGGGGGATTGATTTTGTAGGCCCATTCCCTAGCTCAAGAGGCAATAAATTTATTTTAGTCGCTATTGATTATGTGTCGAAGTGGGTAGAGGCTATTGCGAGCCCTACTAATGATGCTAGAGTGGTTGTGCGTTTTGTAAAAAAATTGTTTTCTAGGTTTGGAGTCCCCAAAGTTTTGATTAGTGATCGAGGAACCCATTTTCGTAATGATCCGCTAGCTCGTGTTTTGTCTAAATATGGGGTTCAACATCGGCAAGGAGTAGCCTACCACCCCCAAACTCAGGGGCAAGTAGAGAATGCAAATCGGGATCTTAAGGCTATCCTAGAAAACGCTGTAGCGCAAACTCGTAAGGATTGGTCAGAAAAACTAGATGATGCGCTATGGGCTTTTAGGACAGCTTATAAGACTCCGATTGGTACTACTCCTTTTCGATTAGTTTATGGGAAGTCTTGTCATTTACCTGTGGAGGTAGAGCATAGGGCACTCTGGGCTTTAAGGACTGTTTGTCTTGATTCATCTAGTGCAGGTAAGGAGCGGTTCTTTCAGGTGAATGAATTGGATGAGTGGAGGGCTCAGGCCTTTCATAATTCATACTTATACAAAGAGAGAGTAAAACGAGCTCATGACAAGCACATTAAGGCGGACCGCTGCAGAGGGGGAGAAGGTGTTGTTGTATAATTCAAGGTTGAGACTTTTTCCTGGGAAGCTGAAGTCCCGATGGACGGGACCATACACTGTACGTCGAGTTTATCCCTATGGAAGTGTGGAGATTGAGCATAATGATGGCCGGGTTGTCAAGGTCAACGACAACCAACTCAAGCACTATTTTGGGGGAATGTTTGAAAAGCAGAAGGAGGTTTTAAGCCTAGAACCCGTCTTTGAATGAGATTTTATCGTCAAGCTAGTGACGTTAAAGAAGCGCTTCTGGGAGGCAACCCACCAAAAAAAAACAAAAAAAAAAAAGGAATTAGGAGTTTAGTATCTCTTGTTTATGCATTTTTTGTCTTTGTTTTTGTGTTTTCATCTTGTGCTTGTCCGGTTGGATTTCTTTTCTTTGAATTGTAGATATGACATGGAATGGTGTGGAAGAAGAAGTGTAGCCCTATATAAATGGAGCTCCTAAGGGATACTGGCTACCAGCTCCCGTTTACTTTACAGAAGATCCGTGGAGACCCGGCAGCAGACACTTTCAAGGCCAATAGTTGGAGACAATAATTGGAGACAAGCATGCTCCAGGAGTGAAACCAGCTGCCATGCACCATGGAGTTCGTGAGCTCTTTCGATGTCCGTAGGAGCACCGCAGTTTAGAAGAAGAAGCGACGACAAGCACAATCATCAAGTGCAATTTGATGGGACATGACCTTGATGGCAGTTTTTGGATGGTGGTTGATTTTTGAGGGCCGAATCAGCTGCCCGTTGACAGTAGACCATTGTTTATTGGGCCTTGGTTCACCACACTTTGGACAAACTGCCCAGCCTCAGTATTATTGCAGCATTCCAGTGGCAGGATTCAGCGGCATCTACACATCTAGGAGAGTCATTTCAGCTTGCAGATCATGGTTCTAAGACCGAATATCTCACCACCAGAGACCGAGGGGCTATCAGATGCTGAGTTTTATGTTAAGCTGGAGGTTATTCACTGCAGTTTGGCTTATACGGTAACCTGTCAACTCTAACTACGCTGCTGAAAATGTGTGCTTACTATCATATTACTCCTTTGTTGATTTGTGTTGATTATTATTCTGATTATGATGTGTTGCCGGGCTAAAAATCATTTTACTCGTTAATTTGCCCCTGTTATTTTTGTTTTAATCTTTTCTTTGACCTCGAGGGCGATGTCACCCCTAAGTGTGGGGAGGTTTGGTTTTAGCTTGGACATGACATTTGATGATGAAGTTATTCTGTCCGAAAACATTTTGAGGTGCACGAGGTTCTTTTTTCTAGTTTAGCAACGCAACAGAGGTAACTTGTTAATCTTTATTTTCTTTTGTAATCTTCCGTCTCCTCCATCTTTCTTGGAAAGAATTAGTAATGATGTAATCATCGGGGTGGTGTGTATATTCTTGGGAATGTTGGCATGTTAGATGGTTTGATTTGTGTTGATTAAATTCGGTTTTACTCGTGATTCACTAGTTCTTCATCAATAATTGTTTGACTGGCCAGGTGTTGAAAATCCTTACTCCGTAAGGAGCTCTGCTTTCTAAGCATATCGGGATAAATTCATGCTAAGCAGGCAACTGATTCTTGTTATGGGGTTACACTTCGTGTGTCGAGAATTTCATCTCCGAAAGGGGCTCTGCTCATCTCGCGAATCACCCTGTGTGAGAGTTGAGTATGCATAGTAATGAGATAAACTCCCAGGCCATATAGCTTGAATCAGCCCTGTAATCCAGAACCTGGCCAACTTTATATATTCGGAAAAAAAATGAATCACGAGCATACCGGTTTTTATCACACAATTCTTGGGTTTTTGGAATGATTGGTGGTTTGGATTTCACACACCTACATTGTTGGGACCATCATGCTTTTCTCTACATTTTAGTCGGTTGGAGGGGGATTTTACTTTTGATAATATTGTTTAACAGGTGAATCTTGGTTTCGTTGTTAAGAAAGAAAAGACCTTGTGCAGTCATTTGTTTTGGGTGTGAATGATTATTGAACTAGGTGTTGCATGTGATTATTTTGTTTTCGTGGGTTTAATGTTTAATACACTGTTGCTTGGGGGCAAGCAATGCTCAAGTGTGGGGAGATTTGATAGGCTCGTTCCGTCCCTATCTTTCACCCATATTTTGGGTGTTAATTGTCTAATTTTTATAATAAATCGGGTGACTATTGGGGGGTTTGAGTGAAAATTTGCTATTTTCGGTCCCGGTGGCATTCGTATTCGGTGTAGTATTTTTCTACATAATTTGACATTTTTGGAGTAATTTGATTGTAAAATTGCATATGATTAGCGGGTGTGGTGAGTTGTGATTGTACAGGCTGAATTTGCGGTGAATAACGCATTTATGTTAGAGCGGGACACTCTAAAGGTTCTTGAAAAATAGTTTTGCACAGCCCAAATGAAAAAAAACTGCAGCAAGTTGTTTAATCCAAGTGCAGCCCAAAAAAAACAAAAAGAAGTGGGGGTTTTTTTTTCCTGGAACTATCAGCCGCACCCATTCTTCTTTCCTTGGATTTAGCTAAGTCAGCCACAGATCAATTCCATTTTTTGAAGCACATCAGATTAGCCGCACGAGGAGAATCAACCGTAGCAGCATCGATTTTTCCTTCTCTTCACTTGGACGCAGCAGAAATAAAAGAAGATAGCAGCAGATTTTTCTTCTGTTTTCGAGGGAATTAGCAGCAGCAGTAATCAAAAACCAAGGAGCTTCACTTTTCTCTCAAATTCTTCCATTCTAGTTTAGATTTCAGCAAGTATTGTAAGTGTAATCTTCATTTACAGCATTAGTTCTTGATTTTGGACTGAATTTCATACTTTGTTCTTCTACGGTTAATAATTTTCGAAATTCCCATTTAAATAACTCATTCCTTTCTTCCCAGTTCTATCAATTATTTATCTAGTGCCTTACCATGTTGATCAATATTATTGCGATGTTAATTTTAATTATGAGCCTATCAACGGGTTTTTAGGTCCCCGTCTCATTCTTCTTTGGCTCCTTGGCCAGCTTCTTCTTCAGACCCGTGAAGGATCTCAAGTCCATAGCTTTCCCTTCAAAACAAGGAAAAACATATAAGTATTATACTACAATAACAAAACACAAGGAAATCAAGGAAATCGCTAAGTACAAGAAAAAAGAGGCCTTCAGGAATCACCTCCGGCACTCTCATAAACACAGTCTATGGGGGGTATCTTTCATCTTTCTCCCCCACCAGCCGGTATCGGCGGAAGTTCAGATTGTATAGTTCATCCGAGAGGGTGGCATCTTTAATTGTCACATGCTTGTCATACCCCTCCGGCTTCTTGGCGAGCTTCCTCCCGTTCTTCTCAAGAGCAGCGCTCCCTACCTTCAGGTGCCTCCGGAAGCTATCACGAAGGGGGGCAGCGAAGGGGTTCTCCGCCATTCGGATATAACAAAACTTGTCCTTCCATCCTTTGTGGGACGAATGAACATCGTCGAACAGCCTAAACTCTGGGACTTGCTACAAATTGGCGAAGCCTCCGGCATTTGAATGCCCCCCTCGGCAGAGATTAAAAGAAAGGAAGAACTGGTCTAGAGTGGGTTCAACCCCCCGGCTCCGGCATAGGGAGAAATCCAGCCACGTAAGAGTGGTTGTTAGGTGTCAACTGACAGGAGGTCAGCTTCACGAACCTCAGGTACTCCAGCAAGAATGGGTGGATCGGAAACCAAAGCCCCAACTCTATAGACAATATGTGGACGACAAAGCATCCCTCGTGCGCACGAACCAGTACATCGTCTGGCCCCGGTTCCACCACGTGTGCCGAAGGGCCGGCGAAGAACTGTGTAGCTTGATACTCAGCATGTGTTGCCCTCGTCTTCACCTCCAGGGCAGCAGTATTCAGGTACGAGTGGCCTTCGGGGATACCCACCGGCTGCCCAGCGTCAACAACGGCCTGCTTCTTCTTCTGTGCAGCCCTTATCTTCTTCTTCCTCCTACCCGACGCCACCCTCAAAGGTTCCGGGTCGAGGGGTCAGGAGCTACTCGTCTCACCGGCATTGCGCGGGGGAATGACAGCTATGGTAACCTTCTGCCTCTCCTTCTCCTCCTCCTCCTCGGCGACTTGGAGGGCTAGGGCCAGCTCTTCATCCTCAACCACCTGTTCGAACTCTTTAGCCTCCTCTGCAGTCCGGAGGTTGTCCTGAACCCTCTTGGCCATGGCAGAATCGTGACTCACCGAAGGCTGCCCACTCGAAGACTCAACGTCTGAATAGCTCTCTGACTGGGTCGGGACCTCCCCGAAGATGTTTTGAGAATAGCTTGTTGAAGACATCCTTCGGATCTACGGTGGGGGAGATGTGAAGGAATAAGATTTCCTTTGGCCTCTAAACACTAGATCTAAAGGAAGAAAGCAAAATACGCAGGGGAACTCAAGAACAGGCGAAGAACTGACCTCAGAAGTTGGTTTTGATCGAACATGTGCTTTCTCTCTCTAGAAAAATTTGGCCAGAGCTTCGCTAACAATAAAATGTGTTATAGGCCCCCTGACCACGATTAGCCTCGGGTTATGGGCCTCCGGTTAAAAGCCCATCATTACGGGTCGTGGCTTTGGCCAATGGTTCGCACCCGCCCGCCTTCAGCCAACGGACGCATGCCACGTGGGCACCACCACCAACGACTATATTTCAACGACCACATTGCAACAATGTCCTCGGCTGACACCCTTCAGCGATCACGCATCAGCTAAACATGGAGCCTCCGGCTGGTGAGGACATTACTGCTCTTCCCTCAAGTACTATGCAGCGCACAAATTACTCCTTCACCAACGCATGCCCTCGGATCTATGCAGCGCACAAATTACTCATCTTCCCTCAAGTACCTTTCGACAAAAGGAGTGAGGGACACAAGGGATGCACACCTCGGGAACCTTTATAAACAAAAAATGGCACATGTGAAATTTGCAAATGGCACATGTAGCCTTCGATCAAACAACGAACACAACCCCTCGGGTTACATAATCAACGTGCCCTCGGGAAACACGCAGAAAATAAAGATTGACCTACAAACCATCAGCCAATATACAAATAGTGACACAGCATCCTTCGCACCAGCAGAAGATGCGCACTTATGAACATTTCCCATCGGGAAGCCTTCAGACCTCGACATGTGGGGGACTGAGGGACTCCCCTCGACACCACCAGAAAGCAAATAACCAATGCAAGGAAACCCCAGCAACGAGGACGCCTTCAGGCTTCAGCAGAACAACCACAATTACTCCTTTTCCCTCAACTACCTTTCGGCAAAAGGGGTGAGGGACTCCTGATGGAGTATATGGACCAGGGACCCCCGGCCCAACGACTCCTACTTCTCCTACACATGCCCATCAACCAGGGACTCCTACATATGCAGGTGCCTTCGACCCTGTGGTCGAATGCTCTAAATTCTAGGAGACAACTTGAAGTGGACCTGCACAGCTTCTAGAAATTTCTGGCTAAAATGTTAGCCTTCGGCTATTCGATGCCCTCGGCTATATGATGCCTTCAGCCACATGATATCTTCAGTCATATGATGTCGGGGGGCACACGTAGGCATTCGGTATACAGCAGACCCAACGAAGATTCCTTTTAGAGACAGTCAACCACCGCATTTAATGTGGCGTCATGTCTAACCACCGCATTTAATGCGGTGCACATGCAAATGTCGGTGCCACCCCGATTGAGGTGATCCTCGATCGTCGGATGTTTGACACGTGTTCCTGCCTAGCATTTATGACTACTATAAATAGCGGCCGTTTTCCCTTGTAGTCGACACACAATTCATATATCGAATATACACTCCTTCTCTCTCTTACATTCTCTGACCTCTCTCTAAGTTATTAGTCGTAATAACCCTTCGGATAAGCTACCCCCGGGTACACTATCCATCATAAACATTGAAAAAATATATATAAAAATTTGAAAAGAAATACTCCCTCCGTCCCTTAAAACTTTGCCAACTTTCCTTTTTTGGATGTCCCACTAACTTTGACACTTTCTCTTTTAAGTAAAGAATTTGTGGTTCCAATTAATTCTCTCTCCTCTGCACAAACATCTACCACACAGTTTTTATTTTATTAATCCATGTGCCGGTCAAACTTGGCAAAGTTTTAAGGGACGGAGGTAGTATAAATAAGAATAAGAAGACAAAATGGGGAATAAAAGAGTCGAGACGATAAACATAAAAACGGAAAAGTTTTAGGGAGAAATGTGAAAATGATAAATGGGAGTGTGGGACCGTTAGGAGAAGATTTGTAGAATGTGAGGTTTATGGTTGAATGATTTCCAAAGAAAATAAAAAACTTGGAATAGCAAGTCATCACCAGCGAATGAAGATGAGATGCAAAGGTTGGATTATTCCTGAATTACGATAAGATTGGACTATCGTAAGAAGCCCGTAAAAAAGTTGAATTATTAATTTTCATTTTCCCTATACCCTAAAATTTTATAGGAAATCGCTCAAAATAAGAATTAAAATCGGAAAAAATCTATAGTGAGATTAAGAGTGTTTTATTTCCTAAATATAGGATTGGGAATTTGGTATAAGGGTCAAATTGGATACAATGATTACATGCAAACCTCATATTCGACACTAAGGTTAATGGACCAAATTGGACACTTTGATTACATGTGCATCACAAATAGGACACCAAAGTTTCAAATGGATCAAATTTAACGTTTTTCTGATCATTTTTTAACACCAATCAAAGATTTTTCACATTTGAAAGTTATTTGTACTCCTTTTCATATGTTTTATGTACCTAGAAAATAAAAATAAGATAATTGGTCTACTTAGAATTAGAATATATAATTAGATTTTCCGATTAATCAAGAATATCTATTATAAGGTAATTGAATTCTTTAATATTGTTAATTAAATTTAAAAAAAACGATATTTTTCAAAGTTCCATAAAAATCATATAAATGAAAAGTCCAAAAAATATATTTAACTTGTTAAATATATGAAGTTATTATTTAAAATTGAATTATATATTTTAAAATCTCAAATTAAATATTCTAAATTATATGCATCAGTTAAGTTAGTTTACTATTATTAAAAGGGGAAAGAAAAATAAGAATGATGATTTTTATTAATGGAAGAAGAGAAACATAAGAGAGTATTCAAAAACTACGAATTATGAAATTCTGGTGGCCAATATGAGATTCACAAGTAACTTTAGTGGACGATGTGGTTCATTTGAAACCTTGGTGACCAATATGAGATTCACAGATAACCATAGTGTACAATTTGACCCTTATCCCTATAGGATTTAGACAATCATATTAAAAGAATAAAAGGATAAAAAAACAGTAAATTTTGTTATGTTTAACTTTTGTTTAGCTAATGTTCTCAAATTTTATCAACAATTCCATCTTTGTTTACACCAAACTACACTTAATTTAAATTGATCTTCTTTTTATACATATTTGTACATTTCTAATTTAAACTAATTTTAATCAAATAATATTTAGAAATTGTCCTGAATAGAAGTAAAAACGTTTTGAAATTCCAAAATATGACCTTAATGTTTTTATTCTCTAAATAAGAGTAATTTTTGCCAAGTTTGAAAAAAAAAAAACTTGACAAAAAAATACCGTATTTAAAGCCTGATAATATCAAACTTGGCATAAATTACTCTTATTTAGGGAATACAACATGTCAATCCTATTTTGGAATTTCAAAACCTTTTTACTCATTTTTGGGAATTTTCTCAACAATATTATTAATGTCATCCACTATCTATAATACACTTTGTATGTGATTAAGTTTTAGTGTAAATTAAACTCACATCCACTCAAAAGTATTTCTGGATAAGTCACTGTTAGTTCAGATTGTTACATTGTTATGCTGTTACAACAATATAACAATATACCACCACCGTAAGATTGTAAATTGTTATATTGTTATGTTGTTAGTCACTATTTACATTTTCTAAAATAACGGGTTATGCTAAAGTTCTCTGTGGCAAGTCAGCCACATCAATTTGAGAGACAGACAGAAAGTAGGGAAGAATGAAACCGTGAGAGACCGGCCTACAATATAAAAACACTACATAACTACATTAATAGGCAAAAGCACATGTAAGCTATACCAATATTTTTAAAAAAAATACATATGATATCATCGCAAATTATAATGAAATATGGAATAATGAAAGTCAAACGATTAAGTTCATTTGTGGGCAGAAGCTGTATGTCTTATCGAATATGGCATAACAAATACCGAAACCATGGAGAAGATCATCCTTGAGCAAGTAGGGCTAAACCCGATTCAACGGTATAACTGTTTCAGAGTTTAAATACACCATCGTTATCATGTCTATAATGTAAGGTATAAACACAAGGCTCGTGATGAGTGAAATGCTCGAATCGTTGCCGAGAGCTTTAACAGTTGGAGTTTTAATAAAAATAAAATAAAAAGATATCAATCAACTAGGTGGTCAGCACAGGAAAAGTTCACAAACTAGTATAAGTTCATGGCTGCAAAGTGATGAAGCATATACAAACCATGCAGTATAATTAACCTGGAGGTTTCTGGGTTAAGCGCGTTCACATTCACAAGCCAAGATAGCAAGATGCAGATAAGCAAAATATAAGGAGAATCCAGAGTCACCAAAATTAAGAGGAGCTACCTCGAAAACGACCCAAAAGCTGAAAACAAATTGAAACAAGTTACCCAATCTGACATGCTAATAAAATAAGAGAAAATTGAATGCACAGAAACAGGCACACAGCTCTTTAAAGTGGATTAAAGTTTGTACACAAGTTTTAAGACATCAAGTTCATAGCTTTATTTTAATTAAATTAGAACATAGCTTTTACCATGTCAATTTACCTACCCTTCACCCTTTAAAACGCTAATCCCACTTCTCCCTACTTCCCAACTGACAAGCCACACGCATATCTGGCTATCCACATTTGAGTTCATCCTCCATGAGCTCCAACAGCTTCTTATATTCTTTGTTCACAGCTTCTCCATATTTATATCCCAGCCTCAGCCCATGTTAAGGCTTTCGAACTCCATTAAAGGAGGAACTCCCATCTCCCTTTCAGATATATATATTTTTAAAGCAAAAACGTGGGTTGAGAATAGCACCTTATGTTTGCGTTTGGGCAAATAGTTTATATGGACCATCCAATGGCCCTAGTGTTGGGAGAAGCTCAGCTACATGCTGGGCTTCAAATTTCAATCCCCAACCCACCCAAAATCCAAAATCATGTCACCAATTGACGACAACAGACAACACATTGTTCTTGATTACAAGATCAAGCAAGACGCATCCTGATTGTACAGCCCGATATCCACTGCATGCGCCACCATCTTATCCGTCAAAGCAAGGATATACATGGCCAAAACGACAACTATATATATATATATAGATTTCGGATCAAATAAAACTCACTCTTAACGTGAAAACTGAAAATCGTTCACTTTTTCCCCAAAGTTTTGTGTCAATGCGAAAAAGTGCAACACAGAAATCTTATAGTGCATCACATTGGGGAAAAAGTGAACAGTTTGCAATTTTCACGGGAAGAATGGTTTTTATTTGATCCATACCCCATAAATATACATATATATACATCACTCCAGCTGTGGGGGTGACACAAATGGTAAGGTTGTGTCAACTGTCAACGAAAATAAAAATAACAGGTGGTGACAACGATGATAGTTGTGGTTGACATTGGTCTCAGCATATTGCTACAGTTGTAACGCCGCCATGATAGTGCTGACTGTGGTGATGGTGGTGCTAGTGGTAAGAGACCAAAGGTGATGATGGTGTGGTAGGGTGAGGGTGGCAACAACAATGACGGGATGGTGACAATGACTGTGGTGATTGGATGAGTGTCGGTAACTAGTCAGTTGCCACAATGGTGTAGTAGGGATGAGGGTGATGGTAGTAAAGTGGTTGTGCAAACTAGGCCAACTTGAACCAAGCCATACCGGTATTAAAAATACCAAGCCATACATAAATGGTAATTTTTTTTTATCATTTTACCTTCATTATCTTTCTTATGTTATGTTATTTTTATATTTTATATTTCTTATATTATTTTATTTTTTCTTTATCTTATTCTTTGTATCTTACATTCTTACCTCTTTTATTTTTTATTGGGTGTTTGGCAATTGTCTGTTGATAACAGTGGATTCAGTTGGTTGTTTTGATTAGTTGATAGTATTAACAGTTTGTAAAATGGTATTTGGTTAAATGGTTGTTTACAATTAGCTGATAACTTGTTAAATGACTATTAAGGACATCAATTACTTTTTAGTTTGATACTTTGATGTAATTAATACAGTTGCCTAAACCGTTTTTATGATTTTAAAATGTAAATTTTATTTTACATCCTTCAAGCAACGTACAATCTTTCCTGATCTTTCTCCATTTGTATATTACTTGTATTATTATTGTATTATTAATATTATTTCAACATAAAAAATATCTGGTATATTTTATTAAACGCACAAAACTTCTTGAAGACTTTCTCAAATGACTTTCCCTGTCACAAAACTAATTGAAGCTAAATGGAAGAAAAGGCTAAAAAGAATCCCTGCATTGCTAAAACAGAATCCCTGCCTTGCCGCGCTTTTTTCAAATGACTTTCCCAGCTCCTGTGTTGCTGGCTTTCTCTTTGGTGGAAAATTAATTAGGCCGGCGGATGTTTTTGTGTGGGAGGGAAACAGATACGGAAAAGAAGCGCTTGGGTAGTAGAGGATATAGGAAAGATAAAGGAAAAGCCACTAGCTTAATAGCACTTTATATTTTGGCTGTTTGGGATAAAAAGCCAAATGAAAAAGTCATTTAACCAAACACCCTTACTAGCTTTTTGATCTGGTCAAAAGGCCAAATATGAATCAAATCAACCAAAAAATGATAAATAGGCTCCTAACCAAACACCCTTATCTTTCTTTTCTTTTTGACTCTGATATCATGGATTGATTCATGTTAGCCGATCCTAAAATCTTTTGGAAATAAGCTTGATTGTTGTTCTAGAGATTAATCAAAATGATGACAATGATAAAAGGGAAACTGTTGTGAGGGAAATTGGAATTTTTCAGAGTTGATATGTATTTATACCTAATTGGGTCATATCAAGGTTACTCATAAATACATAATTGGGTCACGACTCCAAGTTTGGATCTCCAATCTGACATTGTAGTAATTTTCATTTGTATGTTTGCACTTTTAATTAGTTTGAAAATTACACACTTTTGGTATAATGCTTTAGTTTGTTAGATATTTGCAATTTGTTTAGATTAGGATTATTTTGAGCTTAAAACAGGTCAAAGTCATCATTGATCCCAAAGACCAAAAAATGTGCAAAGGGACAAGATCAATTGAAGATTTGGAAAATTGTTCATATACCCGGTCGGGTATATGCTATATATTAGAATAGAAGCAAGGTAGAAGATGGAAATGAAACATCTTACTGAGAAAAAGATATTACAGAGTATTTATACAAGATGCAGTCTAACTGACTATAAGCAAACATAACCGAAGCCTAACAGAATGTAGTTACATCACAATACAAAGAAATATACGTGTAGTATTCATACACTATTCCTAACATTCCCCCCTCAAACTGAGGGTGATTGAGTTGGAAATTCAATCACACTGAGTTTGTTTCTAAACTCAAGAAAAGTAGAGGCAGATAGAGGCTTGGTCAACCCATCTGCAATTTGCTGGGAAGCTGGAATGTGAAAAACTTCAAGTTGTTTGAGATGGACTTTCTCTCGTACAAAGAAAAGATCAATTTCCATGTGTTTTATGTGAGAGTGTAGAACAGGATTATGAGCTAGTTGAACTGTACTGAGATTGTCACAGTAGATTCTTGGAGTAATGAAAGGAGCTTGAAGTTCTTTGAGTAGAAATTGAACCCATAAATTTCTGATGTAGTATCTGCTAGGCTTCTATATTCAGCTTCTGCTGAAGATCTGGCTACCCTCAGTTGTTTTCTAGACCACCAGGAAATGATATTAGGGCCCGGAAACATGCATGACCCAGAGGTAGACTTCTCTGTAGGATCTGATGCCCAGTCAGCATCACAGAAAGTTGTGATACGTAGAGGTGTTTTGACAAGGGAAGAGGTTTGATAATTAGTCCATGAGTGATAGTTCCAGAAAGGTATCTCAGAATATGTTTCACAGCTTTCCAATGTTCTTGTAAGGGGTTAGCAATGAACTGACAGACTTTATTCACAGAATAGCTAAGTTCAGGTCTAGTTAGGATAGCATATTGCAAAATTCCAACAACAGATCTGTATTGAGAGGGATCAGAAAGCTGATCATTCCCTTCACTGGTGAGCTTGCAAGTTGCAAGTACTCACCATTGGTGTTTTCACACCCTTGGAATCAGACATTCCAACTTTATGAAGAAGGTCTCTGATGTACTTTATGAGTTGTTTGAACTGGTACTAGCACCATTGTCAGAGTGAGATTGGGATGCATAAGAAGAAGATTGAATTGTGATGGGAGCTTATAGTGAAACTGGGACACTAGGAGATGAATTGGATGTGGATGGAAAAAGAGTAGGGTAAGGAAACTTTGTTTCATCAAAGATAACATCCCTGGAAAGATAAATTTTGCCACAGGGAGAAAAACATTTGTAGCCGTTGTGATGAGAAGAGTATCCCAGAAAAACACATTCCTTGGAATGATAGTCCATTTTATGTTTGTTGTAAGGCCTAATGAAAGGATAGCAAGAGCAACCAAAAACTTTGAGAAAGGTATATTCAGGAACAGTACCATACAGTTTGTAACGTGGACTGAGATTTTCAATAGATTTGGAGGGAAGTTTGTTAAGGGCCTCAAAATGAGGATGCCCTAGTCTTAAATGCCAAATATTACAACTGGAATTTGACTGAGAGTTATTACAAGTAGATATAAGAGAACTAGGAAACACAGATTTATGGGAATCGAACTTGGACACATTTGAAGTAGAGTTGTGAGACCCAAGAGCTGGAAAGGATTGAAACTTGTAAAGAGCATCTTCACCAAGTATTCCATACAGCAGAATCTGCTTAGAAACATGGGATTTAACAAAACATTCATGTGGATGAAATTCAAAAAATGCATTGTTTTATCCACTTATCCTTGGCAAATTGACTGACAATAGATTTTTGGTTATAGCAGGAACATGTAAGATGTTATTGAGTGATAAAGCAAGAGATGATTGATAAGGAGAAGGAAAGGATGAAAAACAAATAGACTTAATTTCCAAACTTTGACCATTTCCCATAAACAGCTTATCAGTGATTGATAAAGCAATTGGCTCACTCTGTTGGAGGTTGAGCTGTTAGGAAATTGATGTAACGTACCTCAAAAGTACAACAACGGAAGTTTAAAATTTTCCCAAACAGATCTTCCCTGATTATGACAAAACAACGAATATGACAATAATAGTAGATCTGAGTTAGAACTTACAAATCTTCCAGCCTAGCGGTGATAATCCTTGACCTTAGGTATCCATGTGATTTCTCCTTTCCGATAGAACGGTTAGATCTCCCTAAGAGAAAGGCTAGGAAATCTCTTCGCATGGAAATAAACTGGTAATTCTGAATCTGAAAACTAGTCTATCAATTATGACGGAGAAGGATGTATTTATACTAGTTCTAAACTAGTTTCCCAATCACAATGAAAGTGTTCTTCATTAATGAGTTTTAATCTTAACAGGACCAATACTCCTTATTAATGATTCAATTAATTAAACAAAACAAAAATAACCAACAATAAGAGTAAAGTGGGCTTGCACGCCACTTTTACTCATAATCATTATTTATTTTTATTCAATTTTCTTTTAATTCTAAATTATAAAGAAAAGTGCCAATTTTATTTAATTAAAAATACATCTTAATTAAGTACAATAAATCCAATTTATTCCACTTAATTAATTCTATCAAATAGAACTCTCCTTCAACTTCATGAATTAAATATGTTTAATCTAATTAATATTTAATCCATTTTCAGTATTACTAATTAAATATTATTTAATCCAATTAATAATATTTAATTCCTTCTAACAATTCAATCGGAAGGTATAATCACTTGTTGTGTGACCCATAGGGCCTTATATATTAAGCACTAATCAAATTAAGGTCTTAGTAGAATCCCTAGACAATTTACCAGACAAACTTAATATATAAGGACGTTTGCGAGGACTATTCAAACTCCCTGTAATATAGAGCTCATAGTGATACGGTCCTTTCATTCAGCGAACATTCAACTAAGTCTAGAACATGATATAGTGTTTATCCCAATAACTCAGTCTCTGTCTCTCAATCTTTCTAGATGATCCATAACGATCATATTCGATATCCAAAACGAATATATCTTTGCATTGGCCAATGACTTTATGATCCATCTAGATATGAGAAGTAGAATGTTCTCTCTTAATCTATTATGAGGAATGAATCCTTTCTTGGCTCAACTACTACTCCATGTGCTTCGTGATGCACCCAACACATGCCGTATCTACCCCGATTGGAGTGCAAGCATTGGTCATGGTCAAAGTACACCACTCCGCACATGTAGTACGTATTGACCTCAAGTCGGAGGACTATTACACTACTCTATACGCCGATAATCCCATAGACACATGAATAGAACTTATCAAATGGTTTCTCGGTGGGTATGCCAATATTCTCTAAAATATCTATGTGACCATCATGAATTACAGGAACTCATAGTCGTGAGATCAACTATACTTTCTAAAAGTATGATGCAGTCCACATACCAATCTTATCGCATATCATCAATATCCCATTCTTGATGATCATTGATTGGGGCTATTTTAGGACCTTATGTTATATCATATAAACTCCCACTTACTTATTGACAACATAAATCCAAGGGAACACAATTATGAATAAAACATTGACAATCGAAAACAATCATTCATAAAGTGTAATACCGTGTATATATCAAATATAAAAACTAAATGTGATCAAGTACATATGTCTTTAAAAAATGATTGTCGCTAGGACATATATACTAACAGTTGAGAGGATCAGCTGTGACATGGTGTGTAGCTTCAGAGTCTGGGAACCAGTTCTGAGAATTTGGGTGTGGTCCTAGTATAGAAGAGTTTGCACAAGCCCAGGCTGCAGTTGGCACAGTAGGAGATGAGTTGAATTGTGATGGATGATTAGTTGAGGGTGGATAAGAATAAGGTGCTTGATTGGGTGAATATCTTGGTGTGGCTGGAGGAGATGGTTGGTATGGATTTGGATAGGGATGTGATATGGGAAAAGGAACATGTTGAGGTTGGTGGAATTGATTTGAGTAAGAATGTGAAAATGGAGGTTGTTGTATAGGATGAGAAATCTGTTGTGGCATAGTTGAAGGATTAGAGACTGTATAAGCTGGATTGTATCTGTGGTAACAATCAAGTGCACTGTGACCATTTTTGCCACAAACTTGTCAAGTAACTGAGCTTCTACCACCAGAACGACCACCTCTGCCCCTATAGAAACCTCCTCGACCTCTACCTCTGTAGGAGGAATTTGCATTAGAGGTATCAAATTGAGTAGAAGTATCAAACTGAGCAACTTGAGCTGAAGCATTTTCTGAAGTGTCCTGAGTTTCAATTTCATTGTTCTGAGAAGAAGATTCAAGTCGAGCAACATTAGCAGCAAATATTGTTTGTTGTGAGGACTCACGAAGTTTCTTCGGTCGCAATTCCTTAGCTAACAAAAGACCTTCAAGTTCAGAGACAGTAACAGGATCTAAAATGCTTCGAGAGGTGATAGATGATATAAGCGATTCATAATCCTCAGGAAGACCTTCAAGGATCACATTAATGTGATCCTTGGTTGATATAGGTTCACCAACAGACATTAGATTATCAACAATGGTTTGTATACGAAGTAGGTAGTCAGAAATTGAGCGATCACCTTTTCCGATGTTATAGAGTTCCGATTTCAGTTGACGAGCCCTTGCGATGATACTTGATCGAAAAGATTTCTGAATTTCACTCCACAGCTCGTGCGAGTGCTTGCAACCGATGACGCGAGCATGAAGTGATTCAGAAAGCGAAGCTAAGAGCCATGAGAAAAGCATCTGATCTTGTTGCTCCCAAACATTGTAAGCTTCGTTGATCGTCTTAGCTCCATTCTCATCAACTGCGAATCGTTCTGGTATCTGAGGATTCTCGATGAATCTGATAAGTTTGTAAGCTCGTATTACAGATTCGACGTGATGACGCCAAAACAGGAAATTGTTAAATCAAGTTTAACAGGTAGAGGATGATGAATAATCACAGGAGAAGTTTGTGAGGCAGAGTGGGAAGATGTTTGCGAGGATGTAGAACTGGATGTAGAGTTCATCATGGTTAGATCGAGGAAAGCTCTGATACCGTATTAGAATAGAAGCAAGGTAAAAGATGGAAATGAAACATCTTACTGAGAAAGAGATGTTACAAAGAGATATTACAGAGTATTTATACAAGATGCAGTCTAACTAACTATAAGCAAACATAACCAAAGCCTAACAGAATGTAGTTATATCACAATACAAAGAAATATACGTGTAGTATTCATACACTATTCCTAACACTGTACCTGATCGGGTATTGCCCGAATTTTTGTGTCTAAATCATATTTGGAGAACAAGAGAGTGGCTAAGTATTTTGAAGATTTGGTCTCGTACCCGATCGGGTAAACTGACATACATCGGTCGGGTATGTGTGATTTTCATAGCTTCCGAGAAACTGCCTTTTGTACCCGATCAAGTACCCTATAGACCCGGTCGGGTACAAACTCTGTCACCTCTAAACACCTATAAGTACACCCCTTTTCCTTCACATTCAATTCATCAATTCCTATATACTCTTAAGCTCAATTTAGTTAAGTGTTTTGTTTATATTTTCTAGCATGTTTAGTCTCCAAATGAGGAGTTAAACTCTTCGATCTCTTGGTTTTGCTACGTTGAAGCTTATGATTTGTAAGTTGTGAGTTATTTTCTTTAATCATCTTCCTTGAATATTAATTATACTCTTATTTTATATCTCATATTAATGTTTGAGCATTACTTAAAGGATCAACTAGTTTTTTTCATATATTAATTATTACTAGAATGGATCGACGGATACGTTTGTTAATCGTTTGGTCCTTTCAACGGTAGTAAACTTGGATTATTAATGCATGCATCTCATGGTTAATAATCTAAGAGGAATTAATCATATTGATTAAACCATTAAACCTCTTGTGTTGAGGTTATCCATCTCAATTGATTTCATCTTATGTTTTATTGCTACTACCGGGTCAATATACGGCGCATGTTCTATATTGACTTGATAGTAAGTTTTGTTAATGAGTGTGTCTCGTTATTAATATCTGCTTTCGATGAATTGGAAGTACTCCACGATTGAGTATTCGAGAGGAGGGTAGTTAAAGATATAACCGAGATCGAAGAACATTTCATGAAGTGGATATCAGCAAAACCAAGTCTCCATCTCTAATTAATTAAACCACATAAGTCGTTCAACTTAGCGTTTAAATATTCTTAAATTTCAACAACAATCTTAAAAACCCCTTTGTTACTATTTCATAAAAGAGAAATATTCCTTTCCCTGTGGATACGATCCTACTACGCTAAACTATAGTATCAGTGGAAGTATTGAATATTATTTTGAGGCACACAACGACTTTAATGTCGTCACAATCTCTTAGGAATTGTTCCATTGGATCTATTTGAATCTCAAACTAGACCAACTTGAACCAAGCCATACCGGTATTTGTTCTGATAACTATATGAATAAGTGAATAACATATTACAATTTAACTATGGATATAACAATATCAATAAATGTAAAATTTCAAATAGTACCAACAAACAAAACAGACCATACACGGACCAAAAAAGTAGCCTAACAAACATGCCCTGATTATTAATGTTGTTGTCATAGTACCAATGAAAGCAATAATATTAGGTTCTTTCAAAAAAAAATACTGAAATAAAATTTATTCACAATAACATGACTAAAGTTACTGTGAGTACAATGGCATGGCCACTTAAGTGTAAAAAATGTCCATAAGTTACTACAAATCTACAACTAAAGTTAATACTATGAGGTCATATTTTTGTAAACTCCCTTTATTTTAGTCATAAATTTGTAGCTATTTCGTAACATTATCATTAATATTTAAAATAATAATATAATATAATATTGTGCTTGTCTGGTTTGTTTGATAAAACTGGTCGGATCTGTCACTAAAATGAAGTCCAAACAAAACAAAGCATTAGCTTGAAAGATTGCTATAAGTAAAACTTCATTTTCTGTATTCCCCAACGGAGCAAGCAATTAACTTCTCACTAGCTGCCACTCATGTTTCAAAATCAATAGCCGGCATGTGTGACAAAGTTAATAGGTATGTATTCTGGATGTTCTACATATCTGAATTATCCGGTGTGACTTGTATATTTGTACAAAACAGTGTTTTGTAGAAGACCTTAAAGCAATATTGATTTCCTTTTTTTCACTTCTTTCCATAACATAGGACATCCAGAGTAATATCTAAATGAACCAAGGAGATCTAAAAGAAACAGCTGTTTCACAATTTAACTGGTTGCCACTACTACCTTAAATGATGCAATATACACTTCAGCACAATAACTCAACAAAGGCAGGAAGCTAAAAGCACGCTCACCAGATTAGGGTATCTTAAGATCCATCCAATGACAGGAATTTGATAAAGAAAAACCTTGACAGATGGCCAAAAACCGCTACACCGAACACATAATGAAAGAAGTATTTCAGTAACACCGTGTGAAAAGGGAAATTAATGTATAAAAGGGAAGCGGATGGAAATATAAATCATCAGGAAAGTATATAAAACTGGGAGCTCACCCGAATAGTACAATGCAGCCGTACACTTCCATAATTATGCCCAAGATTGGCCAACGAACAAATATAAGGAAGATTCCAAGAAGAAAGGAAGCTGAGCCCTATATTGAATTAAAGAAGCAAGAAAACCTTATTATTTGGCATATTTAATGGAAAATGTAGACATTCCAAAACTTACACATGATCCTTTTTATGACCACAGGAATAATGCCAAGCTACTAATATGACCCGGGAATAACGCATTACACAAAACACCAAACTAAAATTCAACAAATAAAATAGGACACAAACTGACAGCTAAAAATACAACAACAATGGAGATTACTGCCAGAAGATCCAGGGGTGGCATGCATCCAGTGCTAAAAGGACATTGAAATTAACAAATCCAAAATAACCTGTAGAGTCAATGTTGCGAAATCTACTAAGGGGTTGCTTACTTGTGACTTAAAGGACTTGATCAGAATAGTGACTTATTCGTTTAGTAAAAAAACTGACTTAATCATTAAGCTATAGTATAGTAGTTCTTCCCATTAAGACGTCTATTCAACCAATTTTTTAAAAATCAATTATGGAATAGATGTATGTTAATAAAATAACAAATATCATTGTTCATTTACAATATAACACAATAATGTTAAATTGATTACATCACTCGATTCAATTTGTTTATTTAACACACAAAATAAACAACCTCATATTCAAACACCACTTCATTGAATTAAAAAAGTGAAGAAAACCTTATTATTTGGCATATTTAATGGAAAGTGTAGACACTCCAAAACTTACACAGGATCCTTTTTATGACCACAGGAATAATGCCAAGCTACTGACATGACCCGGGAATAACGCATTACACAAAACACCAAACTAAAATTCAACAAATAAAATAGGACATAAACTGACAGCTAAAAATACAACAACAATGGAGATTACTGCCAGAAGATCCAGGGGTGGCATGCATCCAGTGCTAAAAGGACATTGAAATTAACAAATCCAAAATAACCCGTAGAGTCAATGTTGCGAAATCTACTAAGGGGTTGCTTACTTGTGACTTAAAGGACTTAATCAGAATAGTGACTTATTCGTTTAGTAAAAAAACTGACTTAATCATTAAGCTATAGTATAGTAGTTCTTCCCATTAGAACGTCTATTCAACAATTTTTTTAAAAATCAATTATGGAATAGATGTATGTTAATAAAATAACAAATATCATTGTTCATTGACAATATAACACAATAATAATGTTAAATTGATTACATCACTCGATTCAATTTGTTTATTTAACACACAAAATAAACAACCTCATATTCAAACATCACTTCATCCAAACAAACATTTTAATCCAGACAGGACTTAATAGGAAAAAAAGAAAACGTCCTCTAAGAAAATCTATTAGGCCGTCCAACATGCCTAGAAGTGAAGCGGTACAGGGTGCCTAGCACATGACACCCGCCTAGGCTGATATCTAGAACACTTTATGAGTACAATAAGAGATTTTGCAGTAGAAGGAATCAAGAATTAGTTGTTCCCAACAGTTAATTTGCTTTATTGGGAGGAGAGAAGCAAGAGTTTCTATCGAATAATAATTAAGCAGATACAACAAAACAGGGTGAAAGAGAGAGCCAGATGTCACTTTCAGCAGTTTGACTTGAATTTCAGCAGTTTGACTGGAACATTGGCCATGAGAAACTTCCAGCAGTTTATAATATCACGGAGGACCACGTTAATATCCCAACAGTTTATCATTTTTATCTTATCTTATCTTTTTATAGTTTTTACCTTTTTTAGATCTGATTTCATATAACTGTTGGGTGTTGTTGTTGTATTATCCTGGTACAGTTAATAATCTTCCTGATTTCCCTAACTGCTCTAGCCCAAAAATAAACTTCCTGATTTCCTTTAGGCCCATCCCAAAATAATCTTCATGTTTTGTTTTAAAGAAAGAATATGTGGTTCTTTCACTCGTTTCTAGACAAATCTCCACCACATTTTTTTGTTTCAACCATTTTCTTAATAGGTGTGTCAAACCCAAACAAGAACTATATTTCGGGATGCAGGGAGTATCTATCATGTCAAGTGATTACATTAAAAGTCCTACTTTATTAAGACTCTACCCATGTATAAGCCATAAGGCCCTTTTTCAAGAACCATATATGTTCTGCCTCTTTATACCTTGTAATTCAACCTATTAGTGAAAATCTGCAGAGTGGACCGCCAGCCCAATAAAAGGGAGACACCAGCTAACCATAGTATCTATTAACAAAGGAAGGAATAAAACATCAGTTCTGCTGAATTTGGAAGATAAGCTTAAGCAAAATGACCATGGAGAGCTCTTACATTACCCAGAGCAAGTAAACCCCTGTCGAAAAAGAGAATGACGGCAAGAAATGAGAATAGGATGCCAAACCCAATAAGACCTAATCCAACCTCTGCAAAAACCAAACTACTTTTGTGAATATCATATTCTCATTAAAAATATTAGATGAACAACATCTAGATATGTTTGAAAAGTAAAACATGGATTATATTATTAGATAGTAGTGGTTTAACTGCATACAAAATGGAAATATTTCCACCGAGTAAAATTTTTAATGGCCAAAATATTGTGATAATATTACACATTTCAAGCATTCTTGAAGTACATTTAGTGAAAGGAAATGCCAACGATCCCCTCCCCGTCCAACCCCAAAAAGAAAAACATGAACCCTTTCCATTTCAACATTGTAGCTTAGGTTTCTTGTGTGCAGGGTTCAGTTAAGAGCAGAAATTGAATTTGAACATGATTAATCAGACTGCTGAAGGAAAAATAGCACTGCAAGTAAATTAGCTAAGCAGATTCAACCATCATTCTCTTAGGGGTGTTTGGAATTGATTCTGCTTCTGCTTCTTTTTAAAAAGAAAACGTAGAATCACAATCAGTTTTCAGAAGTTGATCTCCATCGGCTTCTCAAAAACTACTTCTAGAAGCAATTTGGAGCACTTAGAAGTACTTGTGCACTTTCACCTGAGCACTAAAATATCTTTTTCTGCTCCCTGAAGGAGCAGAAGCAGGTTTTAAGAAGCAAATCAAAAAACCCTCTTAGGGGAGTCTTAGCCATTGTTGACAAGCTAGGGGAGATTTCCAGCACAATATATTTCATAACTAGGTTAGAATTGATAAATCTGAGGCATCAATATTAGCAAGTGTTGAGAATTATCTCAAGTAACCAATGTATGATTACAAGAATAACTATGACAAAACTAAATAGGATGAAATAGGTATACTTCAGCAAGTTTGTAAGGCTTGAGTTAGAATTTCCTACCCTCAGTCATACTATATCAGATTTAGCCCCATGCTTCCAACTAAGGTAATTACCATAACCACTCTATTATAATGGAACCAAGGAAGGTTGTAGAAATCATGAGTGATAATGATTTATATCTAAGTACGACATTTCATAGATATTAGGAAAATTGATAAACCATAAGGTGTATATATAAATAGGGTGTGTCACACATGTTATATCAAGAGAAAAATCCTAAAAACTAAAACATAGACAGAAAGCACAAATAGGACCACCATTGTATTATTCCTAAAATAGGAACCATTCACTCCTAATTTGGGAAGTTTTATACTTTTAATAGGATCAAATAAGTCTTATTTTGGGAATAAAACATAATTGTTCCTATTTGTGCACTTTGTCTATATTTTAGTCCTATTTGAAGCAAATTCTTTTATATCAATGGAGGGTTCCCTTATCTATAAGACATGCATTCACGTGCTGGCATGCATATATAGTGATGAGAAAAGCATCTGAAATAGCTAAAGTTACTTTAGATGATCATTTTACCTCTTTTTCATATATATATATATATATTCATATATATATATGTGAAAAAGAGGTAAAATGATCATCTACAGTAACTTTATATATGCAACTATATATAATTAGGTTCAAGTGAGAAAATGATCTTAGGAGAGAAATGAGAATGAATCTGGACGGTTAGATTGTACATAGTATTATGTGAAGCTGAATTGTGCATTAGAGGAAACTGAAATGTACACTAGGTGAAATTGAAATGTGCAGAATAAAAACTATGATGTGTTGTCATTTTTGTGTCTTTTATTCTGCACATTTCAATTTCACGTAATGCACATTTGAGTTTTACTTTTCATTCTGCACACTTCAATTTCACTTAATGCACATTTTAGTTTTACCAAATGCACAATTCAATTTCACACATTTACACTTACCGAACAATATATATGAAATGTTTTATTTAACAAAACATCATTTAAATATAGTAATATTCGTAACTCAGCTTATTTAGTCAATTCAGCCACAAGTTCAGCAACTTCAAGAGATTCATCCACATCACCAATTACACTTACCGAACAAGCTCATGGTCAAATAGGTCTACATGACCTTAATGAAAACGAGAGAATACAATATTCGTTTATAATGTTATGTACTTACTTTTTTGCTCGTCCATTTCATATGCCATGTTGTTGATCCTATAGGTGCACTGGTAGAAACCAGCAATACCTCTCAACAAACTGGTAAAAACCAGCAATACCTCTCAACAAACTGCAAAAACTACTTCTCGTGAAATGAGGAATCACAAATCTAATATAGAAACTAGAAAGAACTAGATAGTCTTATATCAGATAAAGAAGCGGAAATTGTGATAAGTAAGTTCTAAAACAATATATATGAAATGTAGGTGGCTAGGTGCCAATTAGAACTAGTATATCATACACCAAACTGGATCAAGGCGCTTGTGATCTTGTCACAACTCACAAGTGGTCATCATAATTGTACTTTATGTCACACCCTCTCACACGTTCATTGTGTTTGAATCGGATTAGCCGGATATAGTTCAGATTAGGGCAAAATATGTTCTGTCATGAGAGCTTCTGAAACTCGGAGTACTTCAATGAGCCCCAATTAACTCAGAGATCATCCCCTAAAAGTTCTTCCAGATACAACGAAATATTGCATGTGACTGTTAATGATTTGGCATTAATCACCATCATGATTTAAAAAAAGATCAATGATATTCAGTGATCAGTGTGACGTATTTACTTTTGAGAAAACATAAGTAAGACGTTTAGCGCAAGTAGGAAAGAATATTATTACCCAGACAAAGTCGGATGAAATGGTCAAAGTTAGTTTATACGGTGTATAATTCTCGATAGATGAAGTCCGAGCGGCTTGAAGTGAGGTGGAAGACAGTGAAGTTGGTCGTCCGATCAGGAAAACTGAAAAGCTTGGGAGTCCAACTTTTATCGGTCTTAAATCGGTCACAATGTTCTGAAAAACATTATAACTTTGGTGGTTGAGGTTTGTGCAGAGGAGAGAGAAATAACAGAAATCACAAAATAATTGATTAAAAGAGAAAGTGAGAAAGTTTTTTAGACGTCCTACAACGGAAAGATGACAAAGTTTTAAGAGACTGAGGGAGTATAACATAATTCTCACCTTAAAATCGCATAATGTTTTGCAAAGATAAAATAATTTGGAATTACAGGTCATAAATCGGTAGTGAATGAAGATGGGGTGCAAAGGTTGGATTATTCATGAATAATGAAAAGATGAGACTATTATAGGAAGACCGCTAAAAGTTTGGATTACTCGTTTCCATTTTCCCATAATTAGGTGGTTTGATTGCTTTTACTCTTTTTAAGTGTGTGTAATTTTAACATTGAACAACGAACTTATAAAATCTGATCACTCAAGTACGCCGGACGAGCATGCACACTCGTACACTGGTCGAGCACACACACTCACGCCACCGGGTCACGTCATATGGGTGTGGCGATTCATAAGCTCCATCCAATATAAATGTTAATACCACACACTCTTGACTTCATACGAGTTCTTGCGTGCTCTTACCCTTTCCTAGTGCATCACACTCCGACCTCGGGGGACGAGTCACCCGTTCAAAAGTTTTTACTTGCGGGTTTGAACTGCTAACCTCGGGCGACGAGTTAAACTTTTGTTAGAGGCCTAGAGCCACGCTCTTCCGAGCAATTTTGACACTTAATTGACATTCACATTTCTCAAAAAGGTTGATATACTTTAGTTCTTTGGCGTTGGATTATCCGTTCGAGCGAGGAGTCCGACCCACTTACTCGCGGATTCGATCTTTCTTTCGGAGACTGGGTTGAAGGCTAACTTGAGAACTTGATGTCACTCTTTTCAAGTAGTGAGTCTGACTCACTTACACATTGAGTTGTGGTTCGACATCACGCCAGATGCTCTATTCTACACTAGTTTCTTTTATGTGTAGGTACAACTGAACGAAGTGGGGGATTGAGGATCTTACCGTCTTCAAGGAAGCAAATGACGAACCTAACGAGTCTGAGCCCGACGAGAAGAACAGTTCTAGACATCCTATTCGCAGATAGCGACCATTGCAATAAAGGCCGAGGATCTCACCTCTTGCTTCATCTTGGGGGACGTCGGATGTACTCTTTTTCCCTTCATTAGGATTTTTTCACATTGGGTTTTTTCCTAATGAAGGTTTTTAATGAGGCATATCCCCAACATGGACAAGGTCTGTGATCTTCTAGTCTCGGAGAAGAGCAATTGACTTGAACTACTATCTCTTAGCCGAGTCTACTTCTCGACTAAGGGAGTGGGGGACTCGTGATGGAGTAATGGGACTAGACCCAGAGCCTAATCAGCCCAAGCCCTAAACTTGGACTCGTGGATCCAAGTCCACAACCTGAAGCCTCCCTGCCAGCCCAACGGGGAGCCTGCCAGTCCAGCCGACCTCCCAGCCCGGAAGAGTAACGGTCAAGCAATTAATACGCTATTAATAATGTATTTAATTCCGTATTAATGTTGTAATTAATTAGTCATTATTATCGGTAGCAGTTACGATTTGTATACGCCTATAAAAGGCGGGTTGTAATTCAGATTAGGGGAAGCAATTTTGATAAGCTATTTATGGCTACCAAATTTCCTTTGCAACTTTCCATATTCGTATTGCTTTCCTGATTTCATGCTTGAGTGTCGTACGTAGATTTCCTAAAAGCCTGCGAGTGTCCTATTTTGGACCAACAATTATAATAACTTGTTTTGATGCACATCTAATCTAATTTATGTAAAATACACATGAAAGTATAATATTATTTGCTTTGACGTTGCCGAATATATTATTTTGCTTCAAATATTTTATTAAAAGTTCAACTTGATTTTAACCTAATCCGATTTCCGACTGTTTTTTTTTTAATTTGATCTAGTATTGCATCAAAATCAATCCAATAAAAAAACATTTTAAATGTCTTTCACAGGTGTGCGAATAAAAAATGGCTACACCATTGTTGAAGGTAAGTCCCGTAGATCCGAAAGCCCAACACGAACTTTGGATATATCAGGAACGGTACAGAATCAAAGTGTATAACCAAATATAAAATATGAACTCACTAATACTCAAAAGCCCACTTGTATTAATTAACCAGTCTGATTACAAGGAAATTCCCGATCGGTAGGTCGGAATAATGCTTTAATACAAGAAATAAGAGCAATAATGCTATTCTAGAGCCTGAGTATTGAAAAGTTAACCCTTACAATGATTTTAAACCTTCTATTTGTACTAATGGAGAGTATGGGCTGCTCTATGCTGATTGGCTGTTGATCCACCGACTTGGTCACTCATGTTTCCACTTGCTGATGTCACAATCTGGCATTAATTGCACCTGGCCACTTGCCGGTTGTCCGTTGCTCGAACAGGATGTTGGACTATGCTGAAGACGCTGTCAAATTGGCCCAAGTATGATATATAGTTCGAACTCCGTTCGGTATATCTTCTTACTGGGCCAAACCTTACTCTGGCCGAATCTCGTTCGGCATGAATTCTTCACTGGATCTACTCATCATAGAGTGATGGGCTTGTTGTTTGGGTCGGGTATCTTGAACCTTCTTGATCCGGGTATTGGGCCTCTGGATCGATATCCCAACACAAGTCCCCCACTTCCGATGTCTCGAATGACAGTGAGTGCATTAGGAAGTATGAACACCAATGTTGCAAATTGCCGAATGGCGATCGGGGAACAGAAGTAGTCAGTTCCTCATGCTGTGATTTGACGGCTGTCGTTTCATTTCCCCATTTTTATCATGATAACCGTCGTTTAGTCTTTTCATTAGACACGCGTTTAGCTTAAATGCTCCTAGTGACGTGTCGCTCCCTGATTGGTTCTTGACACGACGGTTCAAAGGCTATAAATTGGCCTTTAACTTTTCAAATCCGGGTTTCGATTCAGCAATTCTCTTCGCCTTGCCGTTTTCTGAAATTTCTTCCGGCTTTCGTCGCTCAGGTACTCTCCCTCCCTTGCTTTCTCGCCTTATCCCTGACTCGGTCGAGATGAATTCCCAACGATGTTCTGATTCGGAAATTGCTTCTCAAGGGGAGGACCGTGATGTGGAGATTATCACCGTCCCTTTTGATGAAGGTTCCAAGGCAGCGACGGCGGAGGTTAGGGCGGAGACGGGTGACTCCTCCAGCAGTTCTTCTTCCTCCAGTGAAGATTCTGACGATACCAAGTCCGAGGATGAATTAATTTCCATGGCGGCCGGACGTCCCAACGATTTCCCTCGCCATACCCTTGACCTAAAACTGATTAGGGAGAGGCGGCAAAAACTGACCTCCCACAATAGGGCCGAAATTTCGGCCCTTATCCCAGACCTAGTGAATTTCCGACTGCAAGCTGGGCTTCACCCAATGCGTCATAGGCCCGGGATGGCTGTAGTTCATTTTGACTCAATTAGGGCCGGCCTTAGGTTCCCGCTACATTCTTTTTGCATTTCATTTTTTAATTTCTATGAAGTTGTACCGGCCCAAATTATGCCGAATTCCTATCGGGCAATGGTGGGTTTTATTTGCCGTTGTAAAGATGTCGGTGCCCGACCAACCTTAGATCTCTTCCACCAATTTTTTAAGGTAGCTCCTCAACAAACCCACGGCTATCTGGCCACTAGTGCCCGAACGGGACATATTTTGTTCAAGGGCAATCCAACTTCAATCAATGGGTGGAAAGACCGGTTTTTCTTCGTGTCTGTCCCGGACGGCCTAGTTCTCCGCAAATGGAATGCCTTCCCCCGCAAGACTCCTAATCCAGTCCTTACTGAAGAAATTTACAAGGACGTGCTTGCTGTGGAGAAAGATAAATGCATGGACATCATGAGTTATCTGACTCCCGATCGGCTCGTTGAAGCCGGGATAGGTACTGCCCGTTCTCTTGGGTTTACTTGTTTTGAGAAATCAAGTGCCATGGTCCGGGCGGTCCTTCCCGTGCGAGAAACGTTCTCTTTTTCTTTTTTCTAGTTTCTCACACGCTAAGGCCGCTCGGTACTAACATTTTCCTTTGTCATTTTTCAGCACCAAATCAAGATCTACCCATGGATAATAGCAGAGTTCTGGCAGCTGGTGGGGTTGGTAAACGGAAAAAGGCCAGGAAGAACCCCCAACCTATTCCCTCTACTGTTACTGCTCAGGATGCTGGGTCTTCTCAACCAGTTCCAGAGCCACAGCCAATACAGCAGGTCCACCAGGACCAATTCGATGCCATGCTAGTCGATGATCGGTTTGGTTCTGATCAACTGCAACAATTTCCGGAGCACTTCCAAGCTGCTCAAGAAACCGGCCAGGGTGCGGGTGATATACCCACCGTCCAGCTATCTGGCCAGGTTGACCGGATCTCACTAGCGGATCCGGTTCATGATGTTGTAGAAAGAGGTGGCTGCTCAGTAAGCCAGATTTGGTCTACCTCTGTCTTCTTTAACAATTTCACCGTCCCCAAGCTGTCGGTCGAGCAATATGAGGAATGCTTGGCCTTAGCAGCTCTGAAGGTATCTTACCATTTCATAGTTTAAATTTCTCATTGTTTAAAATTTTCTTTCACCATCTCATTTCCCGAACGACATTCTGCAGGTTGGGCTTTACAGTTTGCAGCTGAAGGAAGCTCGACTGGCTAAGGAGCGGGAGCTGATCGTTGCTCAGACTTCCGCGGAGCAGAATGCAGCAGCTGCTTTTGCTGCTCTTGAGGCCGAGCGGAAGGCCTATGCAGAGGAGAAGAAGCGTCTTGAATCAGAGCTTGGCGAGCTCCGGGTTCAGCTTGGGGTCTCTCAATCCAAGGTTCATGCTGCCGAAGCTGCCTTGGTAAAGTTTGAAGAGCATGCCCCTCGTATCCCGGACGGCCCTGCTGAAATAAAGGTTGATTTGTGTGCCGTCCGGGAGTCATTCAAAGGGTCTGAGGAGTTCGCTATCTTGAAAAAAGATTATGCACAACAGCAACTCCCAGACACCTTTGGTGATTATCTTGAACGTTTCTCCACGGGTGACGCCTGTCGGAGCGAGGGGGTCAAACTGCTCGACCAGGACCCAAGGGGGAAAAAGTTCAATGATTCCCTGGCCCGATCCCTGTACGTCATGGGCTGCCAGCACATCATGGCCCCTTCGTCACCAAACTCCAAGAATTACTAGGGAGGCCGGTCGAGCTGGCTGATCTTCCCCAAGCGCCCATAGTTGAAGCCCAATACAAGAAGTATCAACGGGACTTGCAATGGGCTGCTGACCGTGAAGCGGGGATGGAGCATGATCCCCCCACTGACTCAGATGAGGAGGAGGGTGATGACGAAGACAATAGGGCAGAACAGTAGATTAGAATCTAATAATCTTAGCAATTGTAATCCCTTGCCCCTTTTTTTCTTTTTTCTTGCAAACCTTATCTGTATTTCCCGGCCAATAGAGCCGATGAATATATATCTATTTTTTGCATAAAGCTCTATATACTGTCTTTCTTACCTTTATTGACTGATTTACTCTCCATTCGGGATTCGGCCCGTTTTGTAGGACTTAACAATTTTCTGATTTTATTTCTTACTTAACACTCCTAACACCGTTCGGGCTTCAGATCATTTTTTAGGACTTAGCAGTTTTTTTTATTAATCTGGCTTCAGATGTCTCTGATAGTCTACGCGCACTTAGCTTCCTTCATATGTTGATAGTCGTTCGGGCTTCAGATCATTTTTTAAGACTTAGCAGTTTTTTTTTTGAATTTGGCTTCAGATGTCTCTGATAGTCTACCCGCACTTAGCTTCCTTCATATGTTGATAGCCGTTCGGGCTTCAGATCATTTTTTAGGACTTAGCTAATCAGTAACTCTCTGTGATCTTCGCTAATTCTCTGTGAGCCCGTTCGTCACTCGGCTAATTTGAAACGTCTTAGTTATTTTGGCTCGCGGTTCGGTAATCGGCGATCTGAGTAGTTTTTTAGCCATTCCCACGGCCCTCGTTGCCTTTCTTTGTGAAAAGATTTTGCCTCAAAACGTAAGTGCCCGTTCGACGTTCGCTTCCCGGGTTAACCAGCACTTGCAATCATGCTTCTTTCTTGCCCGTTCGGGGTACGTGTCTAAAGATGAACCATAAATACACCCTGATTAATCATAACCACTTAATGCCACGTGTTGTTCATGGATTAGGGTTTTGGGCGGCACTTTCCCTATTTATATAGAGGTGCTTGCCCCTCATTTCTCTTGCTATTTCCTCATTTTTCTTTCTAAGCTCAGAATCTCTTGCGTATTTTCAAGCTTTCTCTCTCTAGAATTCTCAGAATTCCTCAAGTGATTTTATGTATTTCCCTTCTAGCTCAGAATCTGAAGAAATGCCGTTGATTCGTGTAGGAAAAACATCTGCTGGGAACAAGGCCGAAGGCTCTTCTTCCCAAGTACCTAACTCCGGCAATCCTCTCGCAGGAAAAAACACCGAACAGCCACGTGATGACGGATGCCTATCAGGGGACGATGTCCAGATCTATAACAAGGGAATGCCCGAGCGGCCACCCCGCATTCCCCTACATTTTAACTGTATCCGTAAACAAAAACAACGTCTTCCTGAAGATGTCGAACGGCAACTTGGCCAATTATTACCCCCACCAAGAGAATATTATGCTGGATTCATCCAACACCCAATGAGGCATCGACCGGGGCACTTGCTAGTGCACCTTGACGCTTTGATTGCTGGGCTTCGCTTTCCTCTTCATTCGTTCATCGTGGAGTTCTTACGCCAGGTTTCTGTAGTACCCGCTCAGTTCGTGCCCAGTACCTACCGCATTCTTACAGGCTTCATAATTCGATGCCACGAATTGAGGATCGCTCCAAGTGTCGACCTATTCCTTCATCACTACTGCTATCAGCCTTATTAGACGACTGGGTGCCTGAAGCTTGTAGCCCGTTCTGATCGTCAATTGTTTACAGATAATCCCACCCCGCCGGCTGACTGGGAGGAGCGTTTTCTGTTTGTTCGGGTAGGTGATTCCCTGCCAATCCCGGATAGGTGGAACGCCTATCCCGTTCGGGATTCTCAGCCTAGAGTAGATGGCGTTCTACGCTCCCAAGCTGAATCTCTGCGGATGGGAGGAACCCGAAGTCTTCGGGGTTTTATTACCACTTCTAACATGCTATCTGCCGGGATTGGTAAGTGTAACAGGGCTTTAACCCGATCGTCATTCCTTCTTTCAATTTAGCTTCTTATTTCTTATTCCCTTTTAAGCAGGTGTGATATCCCCCATACCCGTCCGACGTTCTATATTTGCCGCTACTCTGACGGCTTCCTCTGGAAAAGGCAAGGAGAAAATGATTTCTGATCATGCCTCTGCGGAGCAAACGCGAAAGAAACGCAAGGGGAATGACGGCAACATATTGATCCTGGTCGATCACGTAGTTGATTTGACCGGGTCGGAAGGTGAACCCAAAAAATCTATGCCTGCCAAACCAACAACTCCAGCTCTTTCTGATGCGCCGGTCGATGATCGGGTGTTTGTTGAGTTTTCAAACATGGGACCTAGATCAGAAGGGAGATACCGGTTCGGGCTGATGCCATCCTCCATGTGGAGTCATACTGCGATTAAGGTTCCCCCCAGTTTCACGAACTTGACTCACTGGTGAGATCTTTTTGAAGCAGGTCATCAAGAAGCACTCAAGGTACGCTTCATTCTGATCCATACCTTCCTATTTTTTATTGGTTTATCTTATCTGACTTCCTTTGCAACTTGTTTTCAGGCCGGTGTATACTATCATAAGGCCTTTCTTGCGGCCGAAAAGGAAATGAAAACCCTGGCCAGCGATCGGGATGACAGCCAGGTCCTTCTTTCTGCCGCTCGGAAATTAGCGGCTGATCTACAAGAACGAGCCAAGGAAGGTGAGAAGGCAAAAGCTGCTCTGGCTGAAATGCAAGAGAAAACCCGACGTCGCGACCGGGAGATTAAAGAACTCCGGGCCAAGGTGCGGGCTGCCGAATCCGCCGGGATCAAATTTGACAAGGCCGTTGGTGACAATCTGCCCGAACGTTATACGGTCAACACTCCTCAGATCGCAAATTAATCAATAGTTGATTATCAACGAGGCAAAGGGCTGAACGTCGCTCTGGAGAACACAACCCGGCAATTCCTGGGACCTCATCTTGGCCAATTCTTACGCGAAAGCGAGGATCCCATCAAGGCAGGGATCGATCTCCTGGACAGCACGCCGGAAGGGAAATTTTTTTTGGATGTCCTGACCGAGAAAACTGTGACGCAAAGTCAGGATCTGCTTTTGGATAAGAACCTTGATTTGATTCTAGAATATTTCCCTAAGCCGTTCGACCTTGATGAATTAGGCTTTGATGATCTGTTTGGGAACACATACGACCGGATCATGGAGAAGAGGACAAAAGCAGTGCCTGATGATGCAGCGCAGGCAGGGAGCTCCCAACCTCCACCTTCCCCGAACGGCAGTCCTTCAGTAGCATAGCCTTGTAAATTTTTGCTTTCTTGTCTTTTCCTCTTGTATGTTCCGGCTAGTAATGCCGAAGAATAAACTGGACATTTCTCTTTAACTGTTAATGTCTCTCTTCTGTTTTTTCTTTGATTTTTCTTGCTCATAATCCTTTCTATGTTGCCAAATATCATTCGGCTCATGTATCTTTATGTCTGACATCTTTCCCGAGCCCGTTTTGATCCCTTTTCCGTTCATGATCCACGGGGTCAAAACTCTTTTAGCTGAGGTGAATTCCTCCAAGCCGTTTTGATCGTGACCACAGGGTCAAACTCTCAGCTGGGACAGGGGCTCCCTCCAAACTGTTAACCCGTTCGTTATGCGGTCATCCGTAATGATCCCACGTGTTAACAAGCTGAGGTGAGACTATCTCCCTTCTGAATTTGTTCTGACACCTTTCCCGAGCCCGTTTTGATCCCTTTTCCGTTCGTGATCCATGGGGTCAAAACTCTTTTAGCTGAGGTGAATTCCTCCAAGCCGTTTTGATCGTGACCACAGGGTCAAACTCTCAGCTGGGACAAGGGCTCCCTCCAAACTGTTAACCCGTTCGTCATTCGGTCATCCGGAATGATCCCACGTGTTAACAAGCTGAGGTGAGACTATCTCCCTTCCAAACCCATAATTTCGATGCATTCCAAACTGTTCTCTCTGGATCGTATCATCCATATTAGGGGTCTGAGGTAACCCTTTTCTCACAGACGGTGCCAATGTTGAAGGTAAGTCCCGTAGATCCGAAAGCCCAACATGAACTTTGGATATATCAGGAACGGTACATAATCAAAGTGTATAACCAAATATAAAATATGAACTCACTAATACTCAAAAGCCCACTTGTATTAATTAATCAGTCTGATTACAAGGAAATTCCCGATCGGTAGGTCGGAATAATGCTTTAATACAAGAAATAAGAGCAATAATGCTATTCTAGAGCCTGAGTATTGAAAAGCTAACCCTTACAATGATTTTAAACCTTCTATTTATACTAATGGAGAGCATGGGCTGCTCTATGTTGATTGGTTGTTGTTCCACCAACTTGGTCACCCATGTTTCCACTTGTTGATGTCACAATCTGGCATTAATTGCACCTGGCCACTTGACGGTTGTCCGTTGCTCGAACGGGATGTTGGACTATGCTGAAGACGCTGTCAAATTGGCTCAAGTATGATATATAGTCCGAACTCCGTTCGGTATATCTTCTTACTGGGCCAAACCTTACTCGGGCCGAATCTCGTTCGGCATGAATTCTTCACTGAATCTACTCATCATAGAGTGATGGGCTTGTTGTTTGGGCTGGGTATCTTGGGCCTTCTTGATCCGGGTATTGGGCCTCTGGATCGATATCCCAACAACCATAAAATTAAAAAATTATAAATAAAATAATACCTCATATTATCATCATCCAAAATTTTACCATAGAGAGTATCTTTTACCTACAATATGATATCTTCCACAAATATCTTATAGGGGATCAATTTTTTTTAACCCGGTGAGCAAACCAACAAAATCAGTGAGGTAAATGCCGGGGAACATTTACCGGACATTATTAAAAAATAAAAAATAAAACACGTGGGGGGACATAAAACCTTACCCACAAACCAAAGAAGCCCCAGAAAAGGCAAAAAGCAAAGAGAGTGAAAACAAACTTACACATTTACATATGGAAGAGAGTCTCTATCCAAAATAATAGCACCTCAAAGCTCCATAGGCATCTGATCTCCTCCCCCTTCCTCCATGAAAAAACTAGATTCAAGCCCAAATTAGCCACCACCTTTGCAGCCTTATTGGACAGATCAGGAGCAACCATAAAAACAGTCCTGACACTACCCGGCCCAATAAACTTATCCACCTGAGCCTGTCCAACTTCCATTAACCGAGTAGAAGATACTTCAATCTCTAAAAGAGGAAAGTGAAGCGATGTTGTTCATTCAATAGCCAGACGAAGAGCTTCATCCTCTTCCGTCGTTCCACTCAACGAAAATCCCAACGCCTCCACCACTGCTCCATCATGGTCTCGCAATAGAAAACCCGCAGAAGATTTGCCATTTTGCCTGAAGACCGCCCAGTTTAATTTCCAGAGATGCTTGGGTTTATTCCAATGGAAGGTCCGAGGTTTCTTCATGCCGAACGTGTTGTTAGGTAACAGCCCTAACTCTTTTAATCTATCATGCCCCTTCAAATTGTCGTTAGCATAACACCAGTAAAGCATAAATTTGCATATTTGCCTAATAAGCATGTCCTTCTCAACTACTATTTCATTCCAAATTGTATCCCAATAAACCTTCCGAAGATACCAACAAATAACCCCTGGTAGAATCAGAGAGTAGGTTGTATCCATAGATTTCCCTGAAAACCTGATCCACCATTTTAATATCTCGACTTTAATACTACTAACTCTTCTGCCTCCTTGTACCAGCGAACTCCCAAAAAAGGACCAGACTGAAGCTGCAATAGGGCAAAGAAGCAAAAAATGGTCCTCCGTAACACTTTGTTTTTTACAGAATGGACACATGGAAGGAAAAGTGACCAAGAAAACAACATGCTGCTCCGGAAATGGTAGACACTGGTGCCACAATCTCCCTAGGAAAATCCTAATTTTAGGAATTTGCTTAGGATGCCATATTTGGTTAGTAATCAGATTTCTATCCCATTGTGTCCAAAGTGCTAGATAGGCTGATTTTGTTGTAAAGTTGCCATCATTTTATGTTTCCATGTAATAGATGTAGGCCCCCTATCTACTAGTTGATCTGTTTCTAGATGAATGAAGCATATCCTTCTCTAAGATGGAGAATCGGTAGGTTTAGACTCCCCCAATTGCCTCCTCCCATACTTACTATGCATCAGCTCAGTCCAAATGGACTGACCTTTCTGATAATCCCACCACATTTTCATAGCCGAGACCTTTTGATTATCACTGAGTGACCTTATACCCAGACCACCATTCTGAGTAGGCCTACAAAGATTACTTAACTTTGCCCAATGATGTTTTGGTTTATTATCCCTATAACCCCAGAAGAAATTAGAAATCTTCATATTGATCATATTCAAAACTGATATAGGGATATTTGTGACTGCCAAAACATGAAGTGGAATAGAATTTAGGACATGCTTAATAAGTATTAACCTCCCCTCTTGGGACAACATTTTTTGCTTCCAAGAAGCAACCTTTTGTCAAAAGTACCGAGTAGCTCTTTGCAATGTTGAACCCTAGTAATGCCCTAATGAAGTTGTACTCCTAGGTATTTAAAAGGGAGTTTAGCAACCTTCATACCTAGTTCATGACCAATGTGCAAAATTCTACCCGGTGAAGCCTGCTTACCCACTACAAAGGCACTTTTGTCCTTATTGACACTACTGCAAAAAAGGTATTTGTTGCAGTTATATTTGCTTATTTGTTGCGGTTCTGAATTGCATCAATTCAAGGGACAACAATTGTGTGATCTTGTATTTGCTGTGGGTGTTAACCGCAGCAAATAAGTGTGTGTTAATTTTTTCAATTTAGTTATTGTTGTGGGTATTCATGAACCGCAGCTAATAGTCCTTTCTTTTTTTTTGGATGAAATGTAAGTATATATAAAAGACACCCAAAAGTAACATTTTACAATGTATCACACAAAATCAGAGAAGACTATCTAAGTTAGATGGATCTAACCTAAATATAAAGCATCAACAACATAATGGGCATTCCCCACATCCACCTAAACAGAGGAATCAAAACACAAACAACCATATAAAAACAGTATCAATTTAGCCTAAACCTATTTGAGCAGGCTCAGCTATCATCCTTTTCTTCATCTTTTTATATTTTGTAATTTTTTCCCAGTATTCGTCAAGTATTCTCTGTTCCTCCTCATCTTTCGGCTCATTATCGGATTCCTCATCTTCTGTGTCATCCTCCTCCTCTGATTCGGGCACAACAGTCATTTTAGTTCCCTAGGCAACAGTCTCGGTCTCTGCAATCTCTTGGTCAGTGTGCAAACTAGCGCCCAAATTAGCGCTGGCAGGCCCCTGGGACAGTGTCTGTCCAGTAGACCCGGTCGGGTCAGAGCAGCACCCGGTCGGGTGAGCAGCAACTGGAGGTTCCTCGGCAGCTGGCTGGGCAGCAGGTACAGCAATTTCCACAATTTCCACTTGAGAACCCTCATTCACGGTATCCTCCTTCTTATCAGCAATAGCCAAGTCGCGTTCTTTTGAAGCCAATTTTTTGCAAATGAAAGGGTGGTGCCCATACATTTTACAATGGAAACAGAAATTGGGGAAGGTTTCATAAACCACCATTTGATTGACTACTTTACGAGAAGGTAATCGTATAGGAAATGATAACCGGGGCGGTTTAGACACATCCACCTCAATTAGAACTCTAGCAAAATGATGATTGCTCCTATTTTTAGTGACCTTGTCCGTAGAAAGCGGGACCCCTACCATAGATGCAACCTCGCTCATAGCCTCTTCATTCCATAGTTTCATATGTAGATTGGGAAATTTAACCCAAATGGGGACTTTAAGAAATTCATCATCATCGAAAGAGAAGTCCTCTGAAAGTGATTTTAGCAATAGTTGCATTCCAAAAATGGTATAGGGACCCCCATTCAACACTTTTTCTCTATCCCCATCATTTTGGAATTTGAAAATAATCCATCCCTTAGCATGTGTTTTGATTTGACAACTAACACCCCAGGTATTCTTCAAGTCATAAATGGCCTTAAGTCCGGGAAATTTTCCGGTAATATATCCAACAAGACAAAATCCCCACATCTCAA